TCCCTAGGTGTGAGTGAGAGAGTGAATGGTTGTTTGTCTCGTTTGTCTCTATGTGTCCCTGTGATGGACTGGAGACCTGTCCAGGGTTTACCCCGCCCCTCGCACAGTGATTGCTGGACATGGGCACCAGCGACCCCCGTGACCCAAAATGGAATAAGCGGGTAAAGAAAATGGATGAATGGAATTTAAAAGCCCTTCTCCAGCAAAATAAGGAAATTTCTGTTCTTTCTCCGCAAAATTGTTCATTTAATCGAGTTTAAAAAATGAAGAAAAAAATTATATATATAATATTGTATGTGCATCAACTACTTTAAGCCACTACATGGCATGTTGTATACTCTTTCCTTCACCCCAGCTTCAAGGTCACAAATTAAGGTTAAACAAGGTCGAGGGGCGTATATTATGCCATATGTGATCCTCTATTTAGCCTCTCGTGTTCTTAAATTGTGTTTTTTTTTACTAGATCAGTTCGGTAACGGGCCAGAACTCTGTTTAATCTCATGCCTCCTCCCCGTCCTGTCCTGCAGGAGTCCATCAGTGACTTTTACTGGTACTACTCAGGGAAAGACATCATTGACGAACCCGGCAAGAGGAATTTCTCCAAAGCGATGACTGTAGCCAAGCAGGTCTTCAACAGCTTGACTGAGTACATCCAGGTAGGTGATTAGTTCTGGTTCTGCAAAACCTCTCCATGGTCCAGTTCATGTCTCTAAACTCAGTTAACAGAAGAAGCTGCAGTTTGTCCACTTTCAGGCTGAGACCTCTGGATTGTGGCGTTTGTGTGTTTCAGGGTCCGTGCACTGGGAACCAGCAGTCTCTGGCCCACAGCAGGTTGTGGGACGCCGTCGTTGGTTTCCTCCACGTTTTTGCTCACATGATGATGAAACTTGCTCAGGTGAGAACGATCCCACAGCAGTCCCTCGTTTGTCTTGAACTCAGTAACTTGGTGACCTGTCGCAGGTTAAAAGGCTTTTATTGAGTAAATATTTGAAATGTTTTGCGTAATGACTTGTATTTTTAATCACATTTAGTCCTCCAGACTCTTATCACGTTATTTCTGGCTCTTTACAAAATAAATTACTGTTTCAGAAACAAAGTGAAGGTAAAAAGTCTAAAACACGAGTTTTGTTTGTCCTGTTGCTGGGGTGAAATCATCAAATGTTGAAATTAACACAAACCTACATAAATTCAGTATTAACGACATTCTGATGTGGTTAAAAAGTGCAATTTTATTCATAGTTTGTTGATAACAGCAGATATTTTATATAAAGTGAGTGATGTACAGTTAGAGAAGGTTCGTTTTAATTATCGCCCAAAAGACATCCATCCAAGTGTCCAGCCGGCCGTCCTCTTGTCCTGGACTCAGGTCTCGGGGGCTGCTTGAGCAGGGAGGTCCAGACTTCTCTCTCCACAGCCACCTCCTCCAGCTCTTCTGGGAGGACTGCGAGGTTTTCCCAGACCAGCTGAGAGACATAGTCTCTCCAGCATGATCTGGGTCTTTCGAGTCTCTCCTGGAGAACTGAACTTCTCAACCTCTCTCTAAGGGAGCGTCCAACTACCCTGCAGAGAGAACTCGTTTACACCTCCTGGATCCAGGATCTGGTTCTATCGCTCTCTTCCCAGAGTTCAGGACCACATGCGAGGGTAGGAACGTAGACCGAGCCATAAACAGAGAACTTCGTACAGCTCAGCTCCCTCTTCATTGTCCTGCTCCATTCTTTCCTCACTCGTGAACAAAACCCCGAGATACTTGAACTCCTCAACTTGAGGCAGAACCTCACCCTCGATCTGAAGAGAGCGATCCACCTTTTTCCAACTGAGGACCACGGCCTCAGATTTGGAGGTGCTGATTCTCATCCCAGCCGCTTCACACTCGACTGAACGGCTCCAGTGAGAGCTGAAGATCACGGCACGATGACGCCAACAGGACCACATCATCTGCAAATGCAGAAATGGAATCCTGAGGCCACCGAACCGGAATCCCTCCACCCCCTGGCTGCACCGAGAAATTCTGTCCATAAAAGTTATGAACATAATCTGTGACCATGAGCAGCCCTGAAGGGATCTGACTTACTACCGGCAATGCAAACCAAACTCTCGCACCACTTGTGTAGGGACTTAACAGCCCGTAGCAAAGGGCCCCCAGTCCAGGGCCTCCAGTCCAGGGCCCCCAGTCCAGGGCCTCCAGTCCAGGGCCTCCAGTCCTATACTCAGAGGTTTTATGTGTCCAGGCGGAGGGTGACATGCATTCCTTCACGGAGCACAACTTTAATTTTTATTTAAGTTTTGAGGATGCTTTTTGTTTGTCCTGAAAATTGATGGTGATGTTTTTAATTTTCAAAAAGAGTTTTTAAGATTTCCAAGAAGGTTTTATCTGATGAAGTCAGCTGGCGTTCCTCTAAAATAATGTTTTACTCAACTAAATAAAATAAATCCAGCTGTCTTTAATGGAATAAGAACCTGGTTGATATTGACATTTAGACACTTTGGTCTTATAGAAACTGTAGACTCTGGTTTCAGACACGATCCAAACTGAGTGAAAATGTTGACAAACCATGTTTTTATTTTTATGTGTAATCCCACAAGATGCACCCTGATCCCGGACAAAGAAATGGTGTAAGACTCAGAGTTTTTTTTATTTTTTTCCCTGCAGACAAGTTTCATTTATGGTCTCTTCATGCTTCGATAAAAAGCTTTTCTAAGAAAACCATCTTTTATGTTAAACGTCTGACCGTGATTTCTCTGACCGCTGATGCTGTTTGTCCTGATCCGAGAACAGTCTGTGGCTTTGATCAGCGGCTGAGAAATCCGTTTAATTCTTCCATCTTGCAGCGTTTCTTGTCACATTAAGAGCAGTGTTGACTAAAATAAAAACATTTTAAGACATTTATGTTCTTATTTATTCGAATAACTCTCCTCTCTTCATATTGAGTTTAGCTTGTGTCGTAATAAAAATGAATGCTCTTTATGTCTGAATGCAAACCCAGGATCACTTTTGGAGTAGCACACCCTCTGAGGTAGAGTCTTTTTCCTTACGTCTCAAAAAAAGACAACCCTGGTCCCAGTAAAGTTATAACGATGTGTAAAATGTAAATAAAAACAGAATTAATGGTTTGTAAATATCATAAACCCATATTTTATTCACAACAGAACATAACATAAAATGTTTAAACTATGTATTAAACTGTTTGAGAACAGTTTTCTTTTTGGTTTTGAGGAAACAAAGGAACTTTTAAATTTTATGGCAGCAACACGTCTTTAAAAAGTTGGGACAGAAGCAACAAAAGGTTGTAAAAGCAAGTGGGGTGAAGGAGAAACATCTGGAGGAGCAAAATCAATTAGATTAACTGGCCCTTGGTCCTGTTCCGGGTTCAGGAACACTTCCACAGCTCATTGCCAGTAAACACAGTTCATCCACAGATGCTGCTTAAAGCTCTATCAGACAAAGAAGAAGCCAGATGTGAACACCATCTAGAACCGCTGCCGTCATCTCTGGACCAGAGCTCGTTTCAAATGGACTGAGGTGAAGTCCAGAACTGTTCTGGGGCCAGACGGATCAAAAGTAACTATTTTTGAAAACCACAGACACAACATCCTCCTTATTATTAAATAGGAGAGGGACCATTCAGCCTGGTATCAGCTCTCATTTCAAAAGCCTACCTCTCTGATGGTATAGGGGTGCATTACTGCCTCTAACATGGACCACTGACACATCTGGAAAGACTCCATCAATGAATAAAGCATCTACAGGTTTTAGAACATCTGCTCCCATCCAACAGAGAAGATCCAGGACTGTAGAACAGCTGGAATCTTCCATCAGCCCAGAATTAGACAAAAACCCCAACAGCTGGTCTCCTCAGGTCCTCCTAAACCTCCAACAACTGGTCTCAGGTCCTCCAACAGCTGGTCTCCTCAGGTCCTGGATGTTTAAAGACAGAAGAAACATGGACTTGGAACAACTTTGAAGAGACGTGTTACTGACATTACATTTAAAATTACTGTAAATTTTAATTTGTAAAATTTCCACTTTCTTCATTTAAACACTCGATGTTCTGCTGCCGATCAAATGTTGGTTTATGACTTTTAAAATCCTTTCATTTGGTTTTTATCTACATTTTAATTTACGTCATCATTATAACTGGTCTACAGTTGAATTTGTAAAATTTTAAATGTTATTCAGAAAGAACCTGTTTGTAAAAAAGTTATGAAGAACATTCTCTCTCTTTTGCAGGATTCCAGTCAAATTGGTCTATTGAAGGAACTGTTGGACCTCCAGAAGGACATGGTGGTGATGCTTCTGTCCCTGCTTGAAGGTTAGATGTCCCGCTGCCGATGTCCTCTCCTTTTTGTAAAGAACAGGTTTTGACGTCCTCGTTTCTCGTGCTGCTTTCAGGCAACGTGGTCAACGGCACCATCGCCAGGCAAATGGTGGACATGTTGGTGGAGTCCTCCAGCAACGTGGAGATGATCCTCAAGTTCTTCGACATGTTCCTCAAGCTCAAAGACATCGTGGCGTCTGACGCCTTCAGGGACTATGTGACAGATCCACGGGGACTCATCTCAAAGAAGGACTTCTCCAAAGCCATGGACAGCCAGAAGCAGTACTCCCCATCAGAGATCCAGTTCCTGCTCTCTTGTTCTGAGGCTGATGAAAACGAAATGATCAACTTTGAAGAGTTTGCAGATCGTTTCCAGGAGCCGGCCAAGGACATCGGTTTCAACATAGCGGTTCTGCTCACAAACCTGTCCGAGCACGTTCCCCATGACACCCGGCTTCAGAACTTCCTGGAGCAGGCAGAGAGCGTGCTCAACTATTTCCGGCCGTTCCTTGGGCGCATTGAGATCATGGGCGCCAGCCGGAGGATCGAGCGCATCTACTTTGAGATCAGCGAGGCCAACCGCAACCAGTGGGAGATGCCGCAAGTCCGAGAGTCCAAACGGCAGTTCATCTTTGACGTGGTCAACGAGGGCGGTGAAAGCGAGAAGATGGAGATGTTCGTAAACTTCTGCGAGGACACAATCTTTGAGATGAACATCGCCGCATCCATCTCTGAGCCCGAGGGAGACGGGGAGGAAGAAGAAGATGACGAGGAGGAGGAAGAGGGAGGTGGGGACGAAGGGGAAGCCGGAGAAGGTGAGGAGGGAAGCGGAGAAGTTCCAGAGTCGGCCTCTGCCTTTGCAGAGTTCCTGAAGAGCGTGATGAATTTCTTCAGCATGTTCACCTTCCGGAACCTGCGGCGCCACTACCGCAAGCTGAGGAAGATGACGGTGAAGGAGATGGTGATCGGCCTGGTGACGTTCGTCTACACCGTCCTGATGGGCATCCTTATGTTCGTCTACAACATCTGTAAGGGCTTCTTTACGCTCATCTGGAAGGCGCTGTTTGGTGGAGGCTTGGTGGAGGGGGCCAAGAAGATGACAGTTACCGAGATCTTAGCCAGCATGCCGGACCCAACGCAAGATGAAGTCCACGAAGATCTGCCCCCTGAACCAGGCGCTCGGGAAGTCCAGGAAGCTGATGGTGTGACGGACCTGTTAGATACTGTTGGAGAAGGAGAAGAGGAAGAGGATGGAGAAGAAGGGGAAGGTGGACGTCTGCCTGGTTTCAACACACCTGGGGGTCTCGGAGACTTTGGAGAAACAACTCCAGAAGAGCCGCCGACTCCTGAAGGAACACCTCTGCTGAAGAGGAAGCTGGTGAGTGCTTTGTTTCCTCCAAATGTTTGTTACTGAACAACCTGAGGTGACATCAGACAAACACTCTGAACATCATCAGCATCATCTAATATTAACATAGAGCCATCGTTAAATGAAAGTGTAGATGAATATAATGCAACGTAACACGCCCCTCAGGCTGTTTCAGCACATTGTAGCTTCAGCAGGTCCAAGGACCATCAGAACAGACCATGAACTAGAGAGAAACTCGCCATACAATTCTACATCCTTCACCAAAGAGGACTCTGTCCAGAAGACCTGACTCAACCTTCTTAGAATCTCCCGTACAATCTTCTGGAATCACCTTTACAATCTTCTGGAATCTCCCGTACAATCTTCTGGAATCATCTTTACAATCTTCTGGAATCACCTTTACAATCTTCTGGAATCACCTTTACAATCTTCTGGAATCACCTTTACAATCTTCTGGAATCACCTTTACAATCTTCTGGAATCTCCCGTACAATCTTCTGGAATCATCTTTACAATCTTCTGGAATCATCTTTATAATCTTCTGGAATCATCTTTACAATCTTCTGGAATCACCTTTACAATCTTCTGGAATCACCTTTACAATCTTCTGGAATCACCTTTACAATCTTCTGGAATCACCTTTACAATCTTCTGGAATCTCCCGTACAATCTTCTGGAATCTCCCGTACAATCTTCTGGAATCATCTTTACAATCTTCTGGAATCATCTTTATAATCTTCTGGAATCATCTTTACAATCTCTGGAATCACCTTTACAATCTTCTGGAATCATCTTTACAATCTCTGGAATCACCTTTACAATCTTCTGAAATCACCTTTACAATCTTCTGGAATCACCTTTACAATCTTCTGGAATCACCTTTACAATCTTCTGGAATCACTCATTTACCAGAGTGACCTGGATTTTAACAGAGTGATGACAACAGCAACAACAATAGACAATCACGGATGATTCATACAATTTATTTATTTATTTTTAACAATTGAAAACTAAATGATAATTAAAAGGAGAAAGAAACATAGAAACAAAAAAACATCTAGATTACGAGGCGGTGTAGAATACTTCGTTAGTTCCTTCCTTCTTTCCTTCGTTAATCCTTCCTTTTTTCTTCCTTAAAGTTCCTTCCTTCATACTCTTTTCTCTCCTTTCTTTCTTGAAAGAGAGAATTTGTTTAAATTTTACTGAGCTTTTATGACATGTGGTATCTGAGTGGTAAAATATTTCTATAAAAACCGTTTCTATTCCAACATTTTGTATCTAAATTCCTGTAAAGATTTTATTATTTTATTTTATTGTTTTTTTAATTGAATAAAATATATTTCATGAACTCGTCAAAGACGGACATATTATGGTAGAAACTCGGTCCATAAACTTCCTCTTGTCCGGTGCATCACTTCTGCTTCCCTCAAGATAATTTAAAGAAACTTCATGCACGGATGCATGCACACTGGACGGTGTGTCGAGAACACTTTCATCACCCTGGCTCCAAGGTCAAGGTCACAAATAAAGGTCAACGGTTACACAAGGTCTTTGCCTGTTTGAGACATTGCTATAGAACGTTGTGTTGCTGTGTAATAGTTTGACGGGTGGATAATGTGGTCCTATTGTCGTCCATTTTAAGGGACTTCTGTGACATTTGTCTGGGAAACAAAGATGGAAAAAGACACACAGTTACTTTATTTCCATGTACTGATCCTGTCAGACACAGAAAAACTCTTAGACTGAACTCGTGCACATAATTTATTCATTTCACTCCAAACTGTCATTACAACAGCTGGCTGCAGCAGTTGGAGGTCAAGAGGAGGAAGAGAAAGTAGAACCTGAAGTGGAAGCTCCTCAGGAGACCGAGAAGGCAGAGTAAGTTTTTATAAAATGACACATAGAATTAATTTAAGACATTTTTTGTCTTTATTATCTGTTAACGCCCAGAATCTGGTGAAGCTTCTTAATTTCAAATGTAATGGTTGTGTTTTTCAGCATCGAGAATGGAGAGAAAGCTGAGAAAGCTGAGCCTGAACCTGAGGTGAAGGAGGAAGAGCCGGAGGAAGAGGAGGAGAGAACCATGAAGACAAAGACGAAGAAGGACAAGAAGCCTGCCGAGGAGGGCTTTGAGCTGTGGAACGAGCTGGAAGTTCAGAGGATTAAATTCATGGTGAGCAGATGCAGAAACCTGCTCCTGTTGCTCAGATAATGTTTACTGATTTCATCTTTTCTCCTCAGAACTACCTCTCCCGTAACTTCTACAACCTTCGTTTCTTGGCTCTGTTCATCGCCTTCGCTCTTAATTTCATCCTGCTCTTCTACAAGGTTTGTGAATTTAAAACTCTGTTTAGATCAAGAGTTGTGGAACATAAACCTTTTAGCTCTTGATCCACAACATGATCGTGAAAAGGGCTTGATTCCATCTGTGGCTGGTTTCCACAATACTGCAGAAGCTGCCTGCAGTATTGTGGATCTGATCTGTCAGTCCATCTCTTGCTCCATTCTTCTCTCACTGGGAAGAAAACCTCGATCATTGAACTCCTCGTCTTAAGGCAGAACCTCGCCCCCAACTCAGAGTGGGCAGTCCATCCTTTTCCATCTGAGGACCATGGCTTCATTTTTGGAGGTTCTGATCCTCATTCCATCTGTGAACCGCTCCAGTGAGAGTTGAAGATCACTACACAGTGACGCCAACAGGACCACATCATCTGCAAAGAGCAGAGGTGGAATCCTGAGTCCACCGAACCGGACTCCCTCCACCCCCTGGCTGCACCGAGAAATTCTGTTCATAACTTTTATGAACAGAATCGGTGACAACGAGCAGCCCTGGTGGAGTCCCACTCCCACCCTGAAGGCTCCAACTTACCGCTGGCAATGAGATCCAAACTCTTGCACCGCTTGTATAGTGGCCGAACAGCCTGTAGCAACGGGACCCCAGTCCCATACTCACAGAGCACCCCCCACAGTGCACCTCGAGCAACACGGTCAAACGCCTTCTTCAAGTCCACAAAACACATGTAGACTGGATGGGCAAACTCCCATGTCCCCTCGAGGATCCTAGTGAGGGTAAAGAGCTGATCCACTACTTCACAACCAAAAGAGAATCACCATATAATGTTTTTAAATCATTCACTTCTGTTTTTATTGTTTTTAAAATTAGTATTGAAAATATGCCAAAACTATGTTGTATGGTCTGGAGACAAAAGACATGGACAAAAAGACAGGAGACGGAAATGGAAGTAGCAGAAATGAAGATGTTGAGGTTCTCCTCAGGAGAGACAAGGATGGAGAAGGTCAGGAAGGAGGTCATCAGAGGTACAGCACAGGTTGAACAACTGGGAGATAAAGTTAGAGAGGACACACTGAGATGGTTTGGACACGTCCAGAGGAGGGACAGTGGTTTGGACATGTCCAGAGGAGGGACAGTGGGTATATTGGTAGAAGGATGTTAGAGATGCAGCTGCCTGGAAAAAGATAAAGAGGAGATACATGGATGCAGTTAGAGAGGACATGGAGGACAGAGTGAGGTGGAGGAGGATGACTCGCTGTGGAGACCCTGAAGAGGGAAAAGCCAAAAGAAGAAGTAAAAATGTGCCAAAAACAACACTTTTTCATGTAGGTTGCTTTCTGAATAATACCTGAAGACCCCACTTGGTGTTTCAGGACCTACACTGGAGTCCTGACCCAAATCTTTGGGCCTAAAGGACCAGTTTGTCTTTTAAACTTCTTTGCAGGTTTCTGAAACCCCACCAGGTGAGGAAGAGTTCGAGGGATCCGGTCTGTTTGAGGGCTCTGGCCTGTTCGAAGGTTCTGGCGCTGAGGAGGACGGATCTGGATTGGAGGACGGTGGTGAAGACGATGAGGAGGAGGGTCCACTGTACTACTTCTTGGAAGAGAGTACGGGATACATGGAGCCGGCCATGGCTTTCCTGGGTATCGTCCACACCATCATCTCCTTCCTCTGCATCATCGGCTACAACTGTCTCAAGGTGCGTCCGTCAAAACAGATCCCGTTGGTTCTGGTTTCTGCTCGTAGCTTTCACGTCTTTTGTGTCTCCTTCAGGTTCCTCTGGTTATCTTCAAAAGAGAGAAGGAGTTGGCCAGAAAGCTGGAGTTTGATGGTCTCTACGTCACGGAGCAGCCGGAGGACGACGACATCAAGGGCCAGTGGGACAGACTGGTGCTCAACACGCCGTAAGCGCCACGTCTTACGCGATGCGCCGATTAAACCCAGAGTTGACGTCTTCCTTCAGGAACCCGCCCCCGTCTCGTTACACGAAACAGTTTCTACAAAGTCCTCGAGTTTCACTGCTGCCAAACATTTTCCTTTCTCCGCTTCTAGCTTTAAGCTAGTTTTTTATACTTTACAAAAACAAAAACAAAAAAGTTCTTAGGCAACCATTTTTAGCTGTTAGCTTTTAAGTAATATTATGCTACTTTTAGCTATCCTTGTGCTCTTTTTGGTTTTAGCTAATGTTTTGGCAATTTTAGTTCTTTCTTTGCTTCGTTCAGCATTTTTTAAATAGCCTTTTGCTATTGGTTACTTTTAGCTAACCGTTTAACATTCAACTAGTGTTTTGTTTCTTTTTGCTTTTAGCTAATGTTCTGCCTCTTTCAGCTTTTGTCCAGCCTTTTCCTTTTTTAAACTTTTAATCAGTTTTTTTTTTCTCTATTCAGCTACTGTTCTGCTTGTTTTAGCTTTAATCTAGCCTTTTGACGCTTTTAGTTTCTTGCCAGCAGTTTTTTACGTTCACTTTTTATGTAGCTACATGCTACTTTTAGCTAGCTTTCTGTTATTTTTAACTTTGCTTATCCTTTTGCTTATTTTGTCTTTTGCTGCTTTTAGCTAGGCTTTTTAATATTTTTATCTTCAATTGTTGCTACTGTTAGCTGTTACCTAAACTTTGTATAATTTTAACCTTTAGCTAGATGTTTTATTTTGTTTTTTGCTAGCCTTTTGCTACTTTTAGCTTTCAACTAGTGTTTCTCTGTTGTTTGCTTTTAGCTAGACTTTTGCTACTTTTATCTAGCATTCTTCTGTTTTTGCTTTTAGCTAGCCTTTGGCTACTTACAATTTTTATCTAGCCTTTTGCTACTTTTATCTTTAGTCCTTTGCTTCTTTTAGCTTTTAGCTAGGCTTTTTTGTCCTTATTAAAAATGTATCTAGCCTTTTGCTACTTTTATGTTTTTGCTCATGTTTTGCTTCTGTTGACATTAATAACTCAGCTTCAGCTTCTTCGGCGTATTTCAGCAGTCATTAATGTTCTTCCTCCATGTTTCGTTTTAAGTTTGTATGTTTTGCATCACGCCTGTGGGATTCATTCTGTCTTTGTCCAAATGCAGGAGCTTCCCCAACAATTACTGGGACAAATTTGTCAAAAGAAAGGTGAGTCTTCGGACGTTCAGGCTCGACTCCCGTGTTTTAAAGTAAAGCGTCCGTCTGAATGTCTGTGTCCGACCTCCAGGTTCTGGATAAATACGGGGACATCTACGGCAGGGAGAGAATCGCCGAGCTGCTTGGGATGGATTTGGCGTCTTTAGACGTGAGCGCCATGACGCACGAGAAGAAGCCCGAACCGGACACCTCCATGTTCAGCTGGTACGGTCCGCTCACTCTGCGGTCACCTCTGTTAAAGGAAGAAACACTGCAACATGTTCTCCTCTCCGCAGGATAACGTCGATCGACATCAAGTACCAGATCTGGAAGTTTGGCGTGGTGTTCACCGACAACGTGAGCTGAAGACGCCGCTGGCAGCAGAGCTTTGTTCGTGTTCGATGTCGCTCACGCCTCCTGTTGATCTTTCAGACCTTCCTCTACCTGGTGTGGTACATGCTGATGTCTCTGCTTGGACACTACAACAACTTCTTCTTCGCCTGCCATCTTCTGGACATCGCCATGGGCGTCAAAACGCTGCGCACCATTCTGTCCTCTGTTACGCACAACGGCAAACAGGTGAGCGCAGCCACGATGATGCCTCACCTGGACTTTACATAAAAACCTTCACCTGTGGTCACCAAATGGTAGCGAACAGCAGGTGGTGAAGTTGTTGTTTCTTTCTCTTCTGTTTAGCTTTTTGCTACTTTTACCTACTCTTATACTACTTTAGCATTTAGCCAGTTGTTTATTATAGTTAGCAATTTTTTTTTATCTTTTTGCTACAAGTCTGCTACTTTTAGCTTTTAACTGCAGTTCTGAAATGTTTAGCTTATTGATAGCCTTTTGATACTATAAGCTTTTAGCTAGCCTTTTGCTTCTTTTGGCTAATGTTTTTTTCTGTTAGCCTTTAGCTTTTGTTTTTTCTTTTAGCTTTTAGTTAGATTTTCACTTTTAGCTTTTAACTACAGTTCCGATATGTTTAGCTTTTTGCTAGCCTTTTTATACTATAAGCTTTTAGCTAGCCTTTTGCTTCTTTTAGCTAATGTTTTTTTCTGTTAGCCTTTAGCTTTTGTTTTTTCTTTTAGCTAGATTTTTACATTTAGCTTTAAACTACAGTTCCAATATGTTTGGCTTATTGCTAGCCTTTTGATACTATAAGCTTGTAGCTAGACTTTTGCTTCTTTTAGCTAATGTTTTTTTCTGTTAACCTTTAGTTAACTTTTACTTCTTTTAGCTTTTAGTCAGTGTTTAGCTTCTTTTAGCTAGTATTATGCTTTCTTTAGCGTTTAGCTGGCTTGTTTCTACTTTTATCTTTGAGCTACAGTTCTGCTCTGTTAGCTTGTTAGCCTTTTGATAACGTCAACTTTTAGGTAAGCTTCAGCTTTTGTAGCTTTGGGCTTGTGCTTTGCTTCTTTTAGCTCTTAATATTCAGGTTCTTTTAGCTAGACCTTTACTTTTAACTTAGTCTGAGTTTTACTTCTTTTAGCTTTAACTCAATTTCAGCAGCGATTGCTCAGCGGTCGTCTTGTATTTAATCAGAAGAGGCCATTTCTTTAGTTCTTTGTGTTTTAATTTAATCATGTTGTTATTTTTAATATTAAAATGTGTTCCTCCTTCATCTAAGTTCTGACCGCTGAGTAATTTCTGCCTGTGACCCCCCCCCCATCTGTTGTGTGCAGCTGGTGATGACGGTGGGTCTGCTTGCCGTCGTGGTGTACCTCTACACGGTGGTGGCCTTCAACTTCTTCAGGAAGTTTTACAACAAGAGCGAGGACGAGGACGAGCCGGACATGAAGTGTGACGACATGATGACTGTGAGAGCGCAGCTCGTGGAAAACAGCCGATGGTTGTCCAGCTGAAGGCTGACGCTTGTCCTCCCCCCACAGTGTTACCTCTTCCACATGTACGTTGGCGTCCGCGCCGGCGGTGGCATCGGAGACGAGATCGAGGACCCGGCTGGGGACGAATACGAGCTGTATCGAGTGGTCTTCGACATCACCTTCTTCTTCTTCGTCATCGTCATCCTGCTGGCCATCATCCAGGGTGAGACGCTCCCGACGACATTCGAGGAACTCCGGACTGCACAAACGTTGTTTACGTGTTTTTAACTACTTCAGCGCGCTTTGTGTTATTTTAACATTCAGCCATTTTTAGCCATTAAAACATTCGGCTCATCCAGGAGGAATTGTTTTTTATTTCATCTGTTAATATACATCAGTTCTTGTATTTTAGGGTTGTCCCTAAAATTAAAAGCTCACAATCAGGGCTGCTAACGAGGCTGCTAAAACTAACGACGTTTAAACAAAAGTAACAATAACTGGACTTGGTATAATTTTATTTTTAAAAGGGCAACATTTCAAGGCTTATGTTTTTTGGAACGAGGAACAGACGCTGTTTAACAATTTAAAATCCTAACAATGCTTCTGTGTGTGCCAGGTTTGATCATCGACGCCTTTGGAGAGCTCAGAGACCAGCAGGAGCAGGTCAGGGAGGACATGGAGGTAAGATTTCAAGTCTGGAGTCCAAGTGCCAAAATAGTTGTTCGTTGCGTGACGTGTTTTTGTCCCTGCGCCTCCGAGAACCGGCTCTTTGCTCAACCCTTTGTAAGATGGTCAGAATTTTGTGGGTGTGTTTATTAAAAAAAACAGGTCAGCTCCGCTCTCGTTGCACGTCAGCTGCTCTGCTGAGGATCAGCTGGCCGAGGCTGTTGGAAAACACAGCCAGCTTCACAGCAGCTCCAGGAAGACTCAGAAAGAAGCCAAATGTTAATGTCGTTAGGAGAGAAGATGGAGCAGGTAGCGCCTGGTGTCTGTGCTGACCCAGAGAGAGCGCACCTCGGTGGGACACGTTCCTGCACCGTCTGTCGGAAGAGGCGCTCGTCTCTTTGCGATGATTTAGAAAGTTCGTGCTTCTCCTCGATGAACAACAAACAAACAGCGGAAAACAAACGTCCGGTCTGAAAACTGTGCTGTTTCTATGTGACGTGATGGACGCCGCAGTGGGAGGAGCTTAGCAAAAGTTGTTTACCGCCGTTTTTCTTTGAGGATAAAATGACCTCGAGTAAAAGAACCTCCCACAACCAGCGAGCCTGGAGGTCGTGTGAAGGATTAAGCATACCTGCAAACGTGCCACTTTTCGGCAAAATGCACCGATTTCAATAAAAATATGTCGTTTACGTGAATCATCTCCAAAGAGTTTTTTTTTTGTGGGGGGTGGCATGAATAAATTTTCATAGTGCTAAGCTAGTGCTGCATAAGTCGCTTTAGCTAGCTCGCGACAAAGCTCACGCTAGCTCGTAAACGCTAAGCTAGCATACTTGCGTAGTGCTAGCTTAGCGCTGCGTTATGGGGGGGGGGGGGGGGGGGGGGGGTGTAGGATGCAGTAGAGAAGCAGAGCGCTACGTCTGTAGCATCTTAGCTAGCCTGTTTGTATTGCTACGTGTTTAAGAAGCGAGCGTACTGTCAGAAAAATTTTCAGTGTTTGGTTCCTCCGGTTGTCTAGCTGATGTCGCTTGTTTGTTTTTTACTTGACGCCATCTTTCCTATTCACAGCCCTCAGTCAGTTAGAATGTTAGTAAATGTCTTTTTTACCTGAATCATGTCGTCTGTTCCCATAATTTTCTTCTTGGAGTGTACCAGGATTAGTTAACATGTTAAAAATCACAACATGTTCGGGGGGTGGGGAGACCCCCCACCACCACCCACACACACACACACACACACACACACTACAGGCACCAGGTGTGTCACCTTTTTCCTCCCAGGTGAGTTTGCAGGAACGACTGCAGCGATCCTTCATTTCAACACGCTGTTGTTGGGCGAGTTTAACTCGAGCCGTCTCTTCTCCTTCCAGACCAAGTGCTTCATCTGTGGAATCGGAAGCGACTACTTCGACACAACGCCGCACGGCTTCGAGACGCACACCTTAGAGGAGCACAATTTAGCAAACTACATGTGAGTGACAGCTCGTTGAGCACCTGAAGTCCATTTATATTAAGATATACGTGTTGTTCTAATCATTTGAACTGTATATATTTAGCAACTCTTTAAAATAACATTCCTCGTAGTTTGACTTCCTCGGTGGAAACCAGCTGACTGCTTTGAATCTTTCAGGTTCTTCCTGATGTATCTCATCAATAAAGATGAAACGGAGCACACGGGACAGGTCAGTGACGTGTTCTGATGATATTTCCAGTTTGCTCCTGTATTTCTGCCTCCTTCACCTCCCCGTGTGCGTTCTCAGGAGTCCTACGTGTGGAAGCTGTACCAGGAGCGATGCTGGGACTTCTTCCCTGCTGGAGACTGCTTCAGGAAGCAGTACGAGGACCAGCTGGGATAGTTTGAAGGACAAACCAGAGGTCAAACACGTCAGAGTCTTAGTTTAGTTGTTTATCTGACATTTCTCTCGTCTGTTCGAAGCTACGCACACCTTGGCTGAACGTTCGTACCACCTGCAGCAGAATGTCGATGATTTGAAATAAGCAAAGAAAAGCCTTTTTATTCCACTTTAAATACCGTTTACGGCTTTCCTGCGTGACTTCCAACGCCTTCCAAACGTTAGTCTGTAAACGTCACAGTGCCTACAGCAACGCCACTGCTTTACCTGTCGGAACCTTAGAACTTTATGTTCATTTAACAATTGATCTGTTTATTTCAGATTTTGATTTTAGCATTTTGGTCCCAGAGTAGATTATTTTCTTCTTCTTTTTTTTTTGTATCGTTCAGCTTTTAAAGGTGGAGCCAGCAGCCAGTAATCCAGGAAAGTGTCTGTTTGAATGAAACCTCTGATGTTTTACTCACCGTCATGATGTCATTTTTAATTTCTAACTAGTTTTGTTGTTGGTTTTGTGTAAAACGACGACGAAACTGATCCAGAAACCGTTTAAAGTTGAGTCGAGCTTTCTGCCTAAAGCGCATTTCGTGCATGAAGCAGCTCAACGTGCTTTCTGTTGAGGACAAAACACAAACGTTCACAGAAATATAAAAAGGAGAGAAAAAACATTTAAAACCTTCGAAACAAAGAATCAGACTTTTAAACTCCACAGGGCTCTGTAGGTTTCCACATGTTAAATGTGATGAGACTCTTCAGGACTATTTCACAAAAAGCAGCAGCTCTTTCTTCTTCTGTGGTTTTATTGCTGCTCCCAGCAGCACAACTGGTTCAGAGTCAAAGGTTTTGTGAGCAGCTCCGAGTCGTTCTGTCTCGCATCGATCAGAAACTGAAACGCTTTCCTGAAAAAAGTACAGTATTATTTAACAGTGCGGTTAAAGTGGGGTCTGCAGACGTTTTGACTGACTGCTCTATTTTCTGCCTCTTTCCCCACAAAATAAAAATCATCCAGAAAACCTGCTGAAAAAACAAAAGTCACGCGACTGAATTTTCTCTAATCGAAGTTCGGCTCTGTTTGCTTTTGTCGCACCGCGTCACAGTACACGTCATCTCAGGGTGACGTGCACAAGCATTCACGTGCATGAATCCCAGCAGAGTGACACATCTTCACTTCATCGAAGCTCCGCTTTCAGCTGCGACAGTGGGAAGGAAAACCTTGATTAGAACAGAAGGAAACCTCCAGCAGAACTGGGCTCAGCCGTCTGCCTCGGCTGCTTGGGGTTAGAGAGGACCGCCAATAAAGAACCGATACTTATTTTGATTTTCAGATTCTTCTGATCGTTGTTCGCAGAATGAGTCGCTGTATTTTAACAAATACGCTCCAAAAACTCTCAACAGCGTCATTTGGTTGTAAAATGGCACTTTGTGTTGTTGTTTTTTCTGCAAAACACCACCTCTTTAAATATTGTTCAAAAGTTTTTTGAAAGTTGTAAAAATATGAATTATTTAGTGACAAAAAGGACAACGGGTTGGTTTCTCTTGTTTTACTGAAATCTAAAGCTGAACGAGAGAGCTGCTAAAAAGGAGCTTTTCCTGCTGCAAAAGGAACCAAAGGGCCACGTTTGGCCCCAGAGCCGCAGCTTGCAGACCCCTGGAACAAATGAAGACTTTTGACAGGAAGTTGACACAACGTGGCGTCCACTCTGTATTGATAGTCCTCGAGGACGCCGGGGTTACTGAGAGTCAAACTGTCCTGGAAACAGATCTCAGATCAGTTTTAATACGACTTTATGCACAAACGCTAGGGTTCCCAACCCTGGTCCTTGAGGAACACCATCCTGCATGGTTTAGTTGTTTCTCTGCTCCAACACACCTGATTCAGTGGTTTAATTACTTCCTTAAGTTCGTCAGAAACCCGTTAATCACCCTTTCATTTAAATCAAGTGTGTTGGAGCAGAGGAACAACTAAACAAGCAGGGTGGTCCTCAGGGACCATGGTTGGGATCACTGCATTAAAATATTGAATGCAGCAACTGAACAACGATGAGGCTTTTTATTGGCCTTTAGATGAACGAGACCTATTTTACTTCAACCGTATTTGCATATATTTATTTTTCTTTACAGGTTTATGACATTAAACCGATCTCTGCTCCTTTTTCAGACATGAAAAGTTTTGTTTGTGAAGAAACGAGTCTTACACTGAAGGAATGGGAATGTTTGGTGTTTTACTGTCGATACGTCAGTTGATGTTATTTTTCTTGAATCAAAGTTGTGTGTGAAGATTGATCTGAACGTAAGTCACGACGTCGGAGACGACTCCAAAGTGTTTTCTGTCCCAGAAGTGATTCACAGAAACAAAAGTGTCCTCTGACTGAAGCCTGTTTCAATAAAACAGATTATTTTAAGAACGCCAACATGTCTGTTTATTTAAATAAATTAATTATTTGACGACGTCGCGTTTGACCAAGAACTTTTGCAGTTTGATAAAGATGCCGTTTATGTATCGTGTGAATATTCTCTATACTTGGATCTATTTTAGCCTTTATGTTCAGGAGATAAATGCTTTTTTGATCATTGTTTTATTTTTTATTTTTATGCTTTTCAAAGGATTTAAATATATTCATAACTTTATGAAAACCGCTTCAGTTCCTTTAAAACATTACATAATTTAAAACGTGTTCAGCATAAAAGCTCTATTTTTTATCTTGGGCTACTTTTAGTTTTTTGCTACTTTTAACTGACCTTATTTTACTTTTAGCTGTTTTATTCTTTTAGCTAACCTTGTGCTAACTCTTCTCTTCTTATAACAAGCTTTTAGCTGTTTTTAGCTTGTCTATTGTTACTTTCAACTAACAATATTTTACTTTTAACTAGCCTTTTGCTGCTTTTAGCTAACATTCTGCTGCTTTTAGTGTTTGTCTAGCCTTTTGCTGTTTTTAGCTAACTCATTTTTTTTTAGCTATTTTGCTACATTTAACTTTTTCCTTCCTATTACTAGCTTTTGGCTGTTTATAGCTTGTCTCTTGTTACTTTTGACTCACCTTATTTTACTTTAAGCTAACTTTTTCATATAGTTTTAGCTAACCTTTTGCTACGTTTAGCTAACTTTGTCCTTTTAGCTAACCTTGTGCTACATTTAACTAACTTTTTCTTCTTACAACTTTCTTTTTGCTGTTTTTAGTTTGTCTATGTTACTTTACATTATTTTACTTTTTAACTAACTTTTGTATAGTTATAGCTAGTGCTGCTTTTAGGTAACATTCTGCTGCTTTTAGTGTTTGTCTAGCATTTTGCTGTTTTTAGCTAGCTTGTTGTCACTAACCTTTTGCCACATTTAACATTCTTTTAGATAGACTTTTGTTCCTTTAACAATTTTTTTTTCTATACTTTAGCTAACTTATTTTTATCAGCCTTTTGCTGTTTTTAGCTAGTATATTTTCATGTTGCCTGGGTTTAGCTTCTCTTAGCTTTTAGCTGTTTTAACTGCGTTTGTTTTTCTAACTTGGACTTTGTGAAGGAGTTTGGTCAACGGGGTTTTTCAACACGTGCTGCAGATTTTAGCTGCTAAGCGACGTGTGTCGAGTTGTTTTTGTAGCTCCTACAAATAATTCCTCATTTACTTCCTGCGCTTATCGACACATTTAGTGACTCAGCAGAGTTTTTGTACAAACCTTGAAATGACAGTTCAGTTTTACATGAAACGTTCAGGAGCGTTACCTGAACTTTATCTTGGTTAGATATGAAAAGTAAAGATTTGTCAGGAAACTCCCGGGCGTTGATCTTTTCTTCTCCGGTTGATTGATGTTTCTGTGACATGTTTGGTTTATCAGACCTGAAACAACCGGCAGTCTCGAACAGAAGAGTCCGTGAAAGATAAAACACTTGAGGGTTTGCCAAAGAGTCGTGAATAAAGGTTTCTGTTCGCCTCAACGTTTGTTTTTGTCTGAGTGAGTCGTTGACTCCGGTATTCAGGGAGTGTTTTCACTGTAGCTGCTTCGATACAAAGTCTTTGCTGTTTTCATCACCGGAACAAAGAACTGTTTTACAGCCGAAACTTCACTCACGGTTTAAAGTTGTGCAAACATTTATTTTCTGAGCCACGTCCGTTGGATAAATTTAACGAGAGGTTTCTGAACAGCTCTGGGAGCCGAATGACAGCCGATTGACCTGAACTGCTGAAGCTAAACAAGCTTAGCCGAAGCTAAAATCAGCACAATAGTAGCTAAAGGTTACGAGAGGCAAAACTGATCTAATTGCTAATGCTACTAAACAGTAGCTAAAAGTATCCTGATGCATGGGAGTAGCTAAAAGGTTACATTTGTAAAAATATAGACAATTTTAATTAATAAGTTAAAATTGGCACAAAATGTCACTAAAATATAAAATCGGTGATATTGAGGTTATAGCTAAAATCGTCAAAATAGTAGCTAAAGCCTAAAAGAGGAAAAACTGTTAGAATAACAAAAGTTACCAAACAGTAGCTAAAAGCTACAATTAGCAAAAACATACCTAAATGGGCGTAACGTGTAGCTAAAAGCTAACTGAAGTGATGCTGTAGTTAAGCTAAACCATAGCTAAAGCTAAAAGCAGCAAATAAATATAAAATGGAGCCAATTTAATTAATTTCAGAGGAAAGAGTTTTTAAATGAATGAAAAGAGCTGTATTTATATTAAATGAAGTTAAATAATTCAAAAACTATAAATATAAAAATTTGAAGTCGGCACTTTATTCCAGATGTAGCCGAACATTTTGATGCATAAACAGGCAAAGAAGTACAAAGCAGGTTGTTTTTTTTTAAAGTAGGGAAGAGACTAAAGAGAAAAACAGGAATTAAAGTCGAATCAGCCGAAAGACAAAATGAGAATTGAACTTCGATGGTGCAGTGGGCTGAGCTGTCGCCTCACAGCAAGAAGGTCGCAGGTTCGCCTCCCAGTCTTTCTGGGTGGAGTTTACATGTTCTCTCCGTGCTGCTTGGGTTTTCTCCGGGTGCTCCGGTTTCCTCCCACAGACCAAAAACATGCATGTTAGGCTAATTGGTGACTCTAAATTGTGTCTAGGTGACAGAGTGAATGGTTGTTTGTCTCTATGTGTCCCTGTGATGGACTGGAGACATGTCCAGATGTCTCTCCTCTTGCACCGTGACTGCTGGACATGGACACCAGAGACCAGACTAGCAGAAGCAGGTAAAGAGAATGGATGGATGAGAAATGACTTCTTTTGTTGCTGCACACACATAATCTGATGTTTGTTGGGCAGCTTGTAGTTTCTGTTTGTTGTTGTTGTTGTTGTTGTTGTTGTTGTTGTTGTTGTTGTTGTTGTTGTTGTTGTTTACCTACCTGGCAGGTTTCTCGGGGCAGCCTGTTCTTACTACATTAAGCTGCAGAGGATATTTTGTGCAGTCAGGCGTGCTCCTGGACCACTGGAGCCCTGCTCAGGTACAGGCGTCCCTCGCTGTTGGCAGCAAATGTTGGCAGGTAAGACGCTGCCCTTTTGTGTGAGGGCCACTCCTCTGCAGGGTCAAAGGTCATCAGGTGCCTCCAAAGTAAACGTGACGCAGCTGTGGGTTCGGTCTCCTCCCTCATCGCTTGTATAAAGTCAGACGTCCTGCAGAGTTGCTGCTTTCCTGCGCTCTGGTCTCCCTGCTCACCACCAGCTGTCATGTTTGTGGCTCCTGCAGGACCTCAGCCCGTTCACAACCCGGTGAGTACCTCCTGCTCCCACCTCCTGCTCCCACTGACGAGGCTCGTCTCTGAAATAATCTGAAACACACCTGGATTTAATCCCTCCATGTTCGTATTTGATAAAAAATGAGCTCTGACTTGTTTCTGATTCAGTGACTGGTTGTTTCTGAGGTCGAGGCTTGTTTCACAATAAAAGTTTAAACTTCTACAAAAAGCTTCAGAATAAAACCACAGAGTGTGAATGATTAAAAACAGGTTTTTGTTTTCCGTTTCATTCAGCCCGTCCACCTTGATTCTTGCAGTTTATGGTGGCGGACGTTTAGAAACGGTTCTGATTGTTTGGTTCTGCGCAGAGAATCCCGTATCTGGGTCCGATTCACGGAGGCCTGAGGGACGGCTCGTCCGTCTGCGTCCAGGGCTCCGCCCATAAAGACATCACCAGGTGAGCCGGCTGCAGTCGGACAGATAAATCTGGACTGAAACGAACGTTGAGCGATTTAAATAACTCTGAGGAAACGTTTTAAATCCACATTTAGGATCATTATTTCCTGAGTTTTTGTTGAACAAGTGACCAAAAATCAACAGTTTTTAAATAAATGTTCAAAGACTTGAGAAAAAATGTTCATCAAGAGTTCTTTAAAGGTTCAAAAGCAAATACTAGTTGATGTTTTTTAAATAGATGATAACTGATAAAAGTTGGATTTGACTTAAAAGTGTTTTATTAAGAGACGTAAGTCAAACAACACACTGAGCTGAAAGGACAAAAGTAATCAATCAATTCAACTTTATTGTCCGTAACATTCAATGAAATGGAGATTTGTCATATAAAAACAACACAAGATAAAAAATGATTTATAAAAAAACAAACTTTAAAACCAATCTTTGTTAAATCAATTAAAAACATTCAGTTAAAACCATTCTAAATTAAAACTAATCTAAGTAAAACATTTAATCTGTTCTTCTTATTGTTTATTTCTACACTCACGTTTTTTTAAGTGTTTACCTGAATCACTTGGAGCTGCCTGTTGCTGAAATGTGCGAACAAACAAACCTGCCGCCATGTTTACCTCGCAAACAGGAAGTAAACAACCGCAGAAATCCTTTAATTTCTCAAATTAACAGTGAGCCTCATCATCAGGGGCGCCTTGTGTATTAAATCTGGTTGTGCTCACCGACCTCGATCTGATTTTGTGTCGCTCACGACGCTCAAAGATCTGTCAAAATGTTCTAGTTTTGCTTTGTTCGCCTTATAGTCGGAAACATACGTAACTGAACTCCGAGTAAATAAAACAAACAAGTCCGTGCTCAATACTCTGAGTACTTTTCCTGTTTCTGATGGGAATTAAGAGGTTCGACCAACCCGACCTTTATTTCTACAGAAACGTTCATTAAAGTGTAATTTAAAGTGCTTTGCAGCTAAAATAAAAATAATAAAACGGATGTTCTATAAGATGAAACTATCCTTTGTTAAAGCTCGACCAAACCGGTTTGGTCTACGTTTAAAAGAGCCCAGATCATGGACCCGCCTCAGACCCCCCCAGCAGGCCTCAGGCTCGGTGCTCCTGAAAGCAGAATCAACTAAATCTAAGAAAGTTGAGTCAAGTCCTCTGGACGGATTCTTGTTGAAACGTTTCATCTTTTATCCAAAGGACTTCTTCAGTCTGAGGAGCTGCACCTTCTCGTAGTGGATCAACCAGTTTGTTGTTGACATCCAGAACTAGCTGTTCACATGTAAAAGGGCCGTCAGAGCACTAACGATCGATCGTTAGTGCTCTGACGGCTGCTTGCTATTCACAGGGGAATGAGTGATACTAGCAATAACAGCATTGTAAGAGGGGGACAGTTGGACACGGAGGCTCCGCCCCCATTTAACCATGGACGGGTTCTCTTCACAAAGATGGCCTCCTTCACTCCTCTCTCAAACCATCGTTCCTCTCTAAGTGTTAAACACGAAACGTTTCAACAATTTTTAAAAATCCGTCCAAAGTACGTAACTGACGTTAGATTTTTCTACCTGGACTATTGAGCGTGCATCAGGATAGAATCAACAAAAGTTCTTGTTCTGGTCGGTGGAACATCTAACAGAGAAGAACCAGAGGATCCGAGGGGTCGTCCTGGTCCACAAACTCTACGGCACAGTCTGGTGTTCGGCTGTGGAGGGCCCTGAAAACCAACAAAAGACTTTTAAACCCACTGGTAACGGCAGCGGGGCTCATGTGGGAACACGTTTCATGAATCATCTCTGGAACGTTCTCAGTCGAACCTTCTGACTCTGTGGGAACGTCGAGGCTGCACCTTGTGTAACCTCAAAACGTGCACGGCCTCTTTTAATCGAATGTAAACACGTTTAACGCACCATTAACTGAGCGATAGATCTCTTCACGACGTCCGCTGGTATTTCTGCGCCCCGCCTGCTCTGTTTGTATTTCCACACCAACGGATCGGCCGCCCTGACGTTGGGTTGGTCTGACAGGTTCTTCATCAACCTGCTCTGTGGAGAGTCGGAGTCCAGCGACATCGCCCTGCACTTCAACCCTCGCTTTGACGGCAGGGACAGAGTGGTTCTCAACTCGTGTCAGGATGGATCCTGGGGGTCGGAGGAGAAGATCCACAGCATGCCCTTCTCCAAGGGGAAGACCTTTGAAATGGTCGTCATGGTCACCTCGCAGGGATACCAGGTCTCACACACACACACACACTGTTGGTGGTCCCTCAGGCTCTCCTCCTCATTGGTGGATTATCAGTTTGGCAGGTTTCTCTAACCACACAGCTGCTAAAAACTATCTATTGGTTCTGAATTGCGACTCTTTAGGATGTTGGTGGCTGCAGTAATGGCCGCTGACCACTAGGTGTCACTGATGAGGCGCAGTGTTGAGGCTTTGAAGCTTCAAACCTTTTTCTGAAGCCTCAAAAGCTTCTTCACGAGGCTCCACCTGTCCGTCTTTAGGTGCCAGCCTTCTCCAGAACGCTGTCGTTGCTGCGTCCACCTCCCAAACTACAAGAAGTGTTGCTTTTTGGTGTTTGCTTCAAGTGCTCCAGGTTTTTGAGACCTACAGAATTGATTAATTTGATAGAAATTGATGAATAAGTTGATAAAAATTGACTTCTAGAATCGCGTCGCACGGGGTGGCTGCATGTTGGAGCAGCTCTGTTACTTTCTTTCAGAGATTTTGCTTTTGGAAACTTTAATTCCTCTTTTTCTGGATGTAAATCACTGTTTTGGATGATTGTTTCCTCTGGTATCAGATGCTGTGCAGCTGGAAGGATTTTTACTGACACTTTTTTACTTTTGGACATTTGTTATGATGCGTAACCATGGCAACAAGGTGGTTTTTACAACCGGGAGCTGCTGTTTAACATCTCAAAGCTCAAATAATAGCTCAACTACAGCCCCAAATTTCAAATGAGTTGAAAAGGAGGCTCCGTGGATGCATTCCCATCTCCCTGCCGGCTGTGCTCGAGTGCCTGACCACTGAGATCCTGGGACTGGCAGGAAACGTGGCACCCGACAGCGGGACCGGGATCATCCCCCGACACCTGCAGTTGGCTGTCCGCAGCAACGAGGAGCTCGGCAGGCTGCTGGGAAGAGTGGCCATAACTCTGGGAGGAGTTCTGCCCGGCATTTGGGCGATTTGGTTTGTAGACCAGGATTTAGGTCTTTGCCATGAGGTGACGTCCTCTCAGCAGACACATTCAGAGTCGAAATGAGTCGCACAAAGTCCAACTTTACACGACTGATCTGACGTCTTCGGATCTTTAACGGTTTTTATACGAGAGTCATTTCATCGTTTTTCACCTGATGCATCTTTCTCTGCTGCTCGACTTGCAGTTTTCTCTAAAATCCTCCCAGAGTGCGCGGTACGAACACCCAAACTCTCAACGACTCCCGTTGGGTCGTTTCTCCACGTAAAACTGACCAGACGCTTCAGTTCGTTAAGGTTCAGGAACGTTTCCTACACGACGTAAAGTTTTCACGCAGCGACTGTTCGTTTGAGGCTTACTTTTTACTCTGCGGTCCTGTTCCCTTTAAGTGTTGTCAGGGAGTGACAGACTCAAGTATGTGGAAACCACGGTAACCCTAACGAGCAACGTTTGACGTTACGTCTATAATTTTCATGCGGTTTGTAAAATCAAAACGTCAACTATTTTGTTGGTTTTAGCTTTATTACAAAATAAAAGTCCCCATTTCCTGTTGGGCTTGAGAGAAGGAAGTTGGAGATTGAGGGCGAAGCTGCTTTGGCCCATTTTAACATTTATTTAAATATTCTGTAGATTTATGAATAAATGTCAGTGACTGATGTTTCACTGCGTTCCGTTCTGACTTGATTCTGTTTCAGATTAAAATCAACGGGAAGGATTTCTTCACGTTTCCACATCGTATCCCGGCGGAGCGAGTCCGGGCCGTTCAGATTTCAGGAGATGTTTCCATCCAAAGCATCAGTGTGATCGGGGTGAGTCCTGACGTCTGGGAAGCTCCTGACCGTTCGCTCTGAACGTGGCGTTGTGCTGAAAAACATTTGAGGAAATGTTTCTGACTTTGTGTTGATGACGTCATCGGTGTCACCTGAAACCGTTAAATCTACTGAGTGGAAATTATTGTCTTTTGTTTTCGTTTCCAACTATTTTTAAGAGTTTGGCTGAAATTCAAGACTGGACGATGTGTTCAAATTGATCCCTGGTAGAAAAAGAGTGGATTTGTTGGGACTGAGCTTCCACCTCAAGTGGAGGAGTTCATGTGTCTTGGAGTTTTTTTCATGAATGAACGTGAGATCAACAGACAGTAATGTGGACACTGTGCCGGTCTGTTGTGGTGAAGAGGGAGCTGAGGTGCAAGGAGAAGCTCTCGGTTTACCTGTCAGTCTATGTTCCTTCCCTCTGGCTGTGAACTCTGGGTGGTGACTGAAAGAACCAGATCGTGGTCCCTGCAGTGGATCTCTGCGGGGTAGCTGGACTCTCCCTTAGAGACAGGGTGAGAAGTTCAGTTCTCCAGGAGAGACTCAGAGGAGAACTTCTGCTCCTCCACATCCAGAGGAGACAGCTGAGGTGGTTCAAACATTTGGTAAGGATGCTTCCTGGATGACTCCCTTAGGAGGGTTTACAGCCATGTCCAACTGGGGGAGACCCGGGTCAGCTGAGGCCTGGAACTCTTGGAGTCCTAGAAGAGCTGGAGGAGGTGGCTGTGGAAAGAGATGTCTGGAACTCCCTGCTCAGGATGCTGCCCCTGAGACCTGAGTCCAGAACCAGAGGATGGAAGATGGATGAATGGTGGATGGATGGATAGTGCTTAGATGATGGATATATAGTTGGATGGACAATGGATGGATGGTTGGATGATGGATAGATGGCTGATCAATGATGGATGGATGATGGATAGATAGTTAGGTATATAGTTGGATGGTGGATGGATGATGGATGTATGGTTGGATGATGGATGTATGGTTGGATGATGGATGGTTGAATGAAGGATGGATGATTGAATGAAGGATGGATGATTGGATGATGGCTGGTTGGATGATGGATGGATGGTGGTTGGATGATGGATGAATGGTTGGATGATGGATGGTTGGATGATGGATGGTTGGATGATGGATGAATGGTTAGATGATGGATGGTTGAATGAAGGATGGATGGTTGGATGATGGATGGATGGTTGGATGATGGATGGATG